TGATATTGTGTTCTCTTAACTTAACTTAACTCGAGTGTGTTCCGACAATAATACATTGCTTACCTCCGGAATATCTTCGCTATTATTTTCAATTGCTCTGATGAGATATTATTTTCCTTCCTATTTATTTTTAAATGTGGCAATGTGTTATGCGCTTTATAACATTGAAAACATTTAGGTGGTCTACTTATTTAACAAAAAAATTCAAAATTTTATATTTTGTTAATGACATTTATGTTCTAAATTATTTGTAGGCAAGTATTTAAATGTTTCCTTTTTTTCAAATACAATTATTAATATTATTAAATACTGTCACGTTTAAATTTTCCATTACAAAAAAAAAAAATATAAGAAAAATGTAAGAGTTAATTCACTAAATGATCATAATATGATATATTACATATTATGTAAAGCTTTCAAAGTGTTACAATTAACATATTATAATTATTAATTACATATTAATTAATATATGGATTTTAAATACAGTTCATATGTTGATTAGAGGTTAAAACTACTAGTATTCATATTACCTATATTATGTGCTACCAAAATGCATATATTTTGAATACCTTTTTATAAACATTTATTGCACGGTTGTACATATCACCATTGATTTTATAATATATTCATAGTATTTATAGTATATTATAAAATCAATGCCATTACCTATATAATATTATTATATATTAATTGAGATCCTGGGGATAGCACCATATCTATATAGTATATGATAAATGGTTGATAGATTTATCTGGTCATCCTAGATCCGTGCTTATTTTCTTTAGACTTAAAGCGTTTATGAAAAAAGTTTAAAGAGTTAAAGCAGTTGAAACCGTAAATATTTTTTCTGATTTCAATTTCAGTTTCAGTTACCGGTATTTATTTTTTCTGATTTCATTTTTGGTTTTGAATACCGGTTTTTATATTTTTCGATTTCGATTTCGATTTTGTTTACCGGTATTGATTTTTTTCGATTTTGTTTTCGGATTCGGTTTTTAACAGTTTAAACTGGTATTCAAAATTGGTATCCAATATCGGTTTCAAGTCCTGCATTATTATTATACTATTATAATGACCAGGGCTTGAAACCCAAAATAAATTTCCCGATTTCGATTTCGGTTTCGGATATCGGTATTTGTTTTTTCCGCTTTTGATTTCGGTTTCGGACATCGGTGTTTATTTTTTCTGTTTTCGTTTTTGGTTTTAAATACCGGTTTTGCATTTTTTCCGATTTCGATTTCGGTTTTGATTACTGGTATTGGTTTTTTTCGATTTTGTTTTCGGTTTCGGTATCGATTTTGGTTTTTAACGGTTTTAACCGGTATTCAAAATCGGTATCAAATATCGGTTTCAAGCCCTAGTTAAAAGTTTAATATTATTATTAAATTTTTTTCAAAAGTATATTATTAAATTAATTTAATAAACATCTTAATAATTTATCTGCGTGAAATAATACTTATAATTTTAGTATAAATGAAATCTAGAAAAAAAATTATTAATTTTGATTAAGAATGCCTTGAAATTTTTACATTAAATTTAGGGAGCATTATGACAAAAAATTTGAAAGCATTGTACTATAGTATTATACTATATCTATGGATTATAGTGTAGAATATCTAAATACATATATAACTAGCTGTCCCGGTAAAAGATCATGTTTGTAATGTTGCATTTCAATTAAAAAACTTCTTATACATTTTTCACTGTTTATTTTTCAAACGTATTTTGTAATGATTGAAGAAATAAATTAACAAAAAATATAGACGAAGGTTGGTTGCTCAGTACACAGTCAAATATTAACCAAATATATCATAACACATTATGTCAAAACAAGAATGATATTTGCTTGCAAAAGAAAAAATGAGCAAATTTGATCATGCTTGTTGTTCAGCAAGTTGCTGAAAACAAAAAAACACCAAAAAAACATATACAATTTCCAAAATTAGTTTGAAGTTTATAAGATTTGAGTCCCTCAAGGAAGTGACATAGCTCCCTTCTTATACTCTATATTCGCCCATGACACTCCGACCTCTCCTCATACATCACTGGGTACATATGCTGACGACACGATAATCCTGGCTTCAAACCATGACCCCCGGGTAGTATCTCTCCGGCTTCAAAATCATCTCAACTCGATTCAACTATGGTCAAACCGCTGGAGGATTAAAATTAACGAAGCTAAATCATCATTTATCACTTTCTCTCTTAGACCAGGTGACTGCCCCTCTGTATCGTTTAATAATAACCAAATCCCAATCACCCCGACAATAAGATACCTAGGTTTGATCTTTGACAGGCGCCTCACATGGGCCCAACACCTTAAAATAAAAAGAAAAACAGTCAACTCCAGACTCCATTTACTCCGCCCACTTCTTAGATCCAAGACATCATTAAAAAATAAACTATTAATATACAAAACCATCATCAGACCCGTTTGGTCCTATGGCATCCAGATTTGGGGCTCTGCCAAACCCTCCAACACGAGAACAATCCAGGCATTCCAGTCTATCTGTCTGAGGCAAATTGTCTCTGCTCCATGGTTTATCTCAAATAATAATCTCCACAAAGATCTAAATATTCCATCGCTCTTTCAATTAACAAAGTCTCACTACGTCTCCTTTCATTCCAAGTTAATCCAACATTACAATCCATTAATAAAACGCATATCTTCTCTAACAATCCCTGATAACCCCCAGAGACGTTTAAAACGCTCCTGGCCTAGAGACCTTCTAATTTAATCCGTCGGGTGGCACTACTGAGTGCCCTCCCCCATCTGTCATTCACGTTATTATGTAAATACTATATCAATATTACTTATTGTACTAAATTTTGTATAGATTGTAATTATATTTTAATAAAAAAAAAAAAAAAAAAAAAAAAAGTTTATAAGATAACAATTTTATGATTGAATAATATTATAATATAAATATTATAATCATGTAATAAAATATGCAAATTATTTTAAAGGTATGTGTTTAGAGTTTTTTATGAGCACTAGAAAATAATACTCCACTCTACCAGACTATTATTAAAATTAGAAGTTAAATCATAATAATTATTTACATTTAAAGATTTTATTTATTATTAATTCACGTCTTTTAGGGCAATTTTACAAAGGTAAAAGTAATAGTGTTTTGAAACACTAATTATTACAATAATTTTTTTTTTTTTAGACAATCGTTTCGAAATAATTCGCAGAACATAGTATAATTTGGATTGTAGCAGTGTTGGTAACCATAAGTCCATAACTAACCTTTTTTTTTTTTTTTTTATTTTATAAACAGGAACGGGTGGGAACTGTTTAGCACAATACTGCCACCCAACCATAACTAACCTACGAAAAGGTGGTTGACTCATTTGCTAGACGCATTACACCCTATCAATGGGTCGAATGCGACTATAATTGGAGGTACGAAAGGAGATGACAAATGGAGCAGTGGAACGTGTGGAATATTGAGTTACTCGAAATTGTATACATGATAGGAGAGTAGGTGCATCATATGTACCATCAATAATTCTCTGAATGATTTACATTAGCTCTTCTGTCTGCTAAGGTATCTAGGCATAGTTCATGTAGGACAGGTGAGTAGTCATTGTTAAATATCTATGTATTAATTAACAATGTACAGAGTAGCGCATGTTTCTATTAGTATTTGACGATATTATTAATAAGGCAATTAGTATATTATAACACGCTAGGGCAATTGTATAAGTATATAGTATAGAACAATTAAGCCATAAACGTGTCATCATGCGTATCTCCGGGAAAGTCAACACCCATACGAAGGATACGAGTCGAACAGGATACCAAGTACGAGCCCCGGACTCTGTCTCAAGACCGAATTTGGTCACTATACTACCACCCACTCCAAAGGACTCGATCATATATAATATATATATATATACTAGCCCATGACAAGAGCTCATCAGACGATTAGTTATACCCAAGACACTTAGTAAAACCACTCACAGTCTTAGTATCAGTTCAGAGTCAGGTAGTAACAATGCTCAACTCTCCACCTTAGCTTATATACATTGTAATTTTGTACTTTAAATAAACACTCATCATAACCTATTGCATCAAGTATTCATTTCTGCGTTGATGTATATATCGACTTCAGATTTTCAGAACACGACCTGCAAAGTAAAGGAGGAGTCTTTGAACACGCTCAATGGTTAATGAGTTGGACGCAGTGTAGGGATTCCATAAACCCTAATAAAGAGCGAACTAGAGAGCAATAAAGAGTTTTTAATGAGAAGGACAATTTAAAGTTGGATGAAACACGTCTTATGAATCCTAACATCGTATAGGCTTTGTCACTTATTGATTGGGTATCTAGGCTAGAACCTATAGGTCTCTTTTACTTGCTGCGAAAAACAGTCATTGACTGGCATTTGCTGACATTTAAGTGGAAGCCGATCGAGTTTATCCATATAACTAGATTACCGAATTCAATTTGCAGTGCAAAACAGTCTTATAAAGATTAAATTTGGCAAAAATTTTAATGTCATCAAAAAAAGCTAGACAATTACAATAAGGGTTGATTTTTTTTGTATATCAGATACAGTGACTTGATAGAGAAGAGTATCATGAGGTATGTGGTAGGTTGTAGTCCCAGCAAAATATGGATGTGCAATTAGAATTAGATAAGGCAACAGTTTGAACGGATCATATATGCGATTCATATAGGGTAAAGGGACTACTAAGATTAATATAGACCTAGGAGATAATAAATGAGATGTTCTGAGTCTAGAATTTAACGAAGAAGTGCTCAAAATTGGTGGAGATGGGCGATATACGTGAGCAGCGTATATCTTTAAGGACGGCAATCAGAGTACCACCACCTCTATGTAGCTTACTTGTAGATAAATTTCTGTTTCATCTAAATGTAACTTAGTTTTCCAAGCAAAGTTCATTGTCACCAATACTCTCACGTAACCACGTTTCAGTTAGACAAATGAAAACATAATTAAATGTAGCAACATTACATTTAAAAATATTAAGCTTGGATCCGAAGTCTTTCGGAGGGTGTACGACCCCTGGTGGTAGAGACCTGAGAACACTCATCAGGATAGTTGGAACAAAGACGTAGAAAGGATATTATCACATGGTTCACCTCATAATGAGAAGTGAGTTGTACTTTTAGTAGTCGTGGTTTATCATTGATACTTTTTCCAACCCTAAAAACTTTGCGGATTACTTTTTTTGGCAGCTTAGGCTCGAGTTTATCCAATATTTCTTTGACAAATGTTTTGTCTTCTAAAGTGGAAGAGACAGATGTACCTACAGATGACAGAGTCACCCAGAGTACCCCACTTATAATTACATGAACAGCACAACGGGATCGTAACTGGATTTCATGAGTTATGTCGTTCCGAGCAAGAGGAGCAGTAGTAATTGGTGGAAACTTCGCCATATTTTATAATTGATGTCTACTAGATAAAACATATTGCAAATGATTAAGACACCATTATAATGTATAATTAAAATAAAATTACAGGCTCCAATTTATTATATATTACAATATATATTATGCCAACTCGATAAAAAAAAAAACTTATTATGATTCAACGTTTTTGTAAATACTCACGTTAATTTTTTTTTTTAAATAGCATTTTACTTCTTAAGTCTTGAGACATTTTACATTTAATAGTATGAACAGGACAAGAAGAGCTCTATAGTGGTTCGTCTCAACGGGCTCTGGTAGTGACGACTAAACTGAGGGGTCGCTTCACTCAATCCTACCCAGTCATGACACCTGCGAACTACCGCATATATAACGAAACCACGAACACCAGACCAATGTCCTCATGGACGCCAGCCTGTCTAATCTTTTGTGCGCCCCAGCCAAAACATATATGATATAATTATTCAGAACAGCACTTAATAAATACAAAATTAATAACATGATTGCCAAAGCTCGTTAACAAATACTGCACTCAAAGAAGAAGTAGGTGCAGGCAATGTCTAATAGTAAAATACATAATTTTAATTACAATTATATTATAAAATATATCTTCTTAGTACTTAAAATATTTTAGCCTATTAGCTGACAGAATTTTACATTTTTTTTCGTATAGGACTTTTATGTATTGGTTATATTTTGTTTTGGCGACTTTTTGGTTTTATGTAGAACACAATAATAACTTGGAAATTGAAATTTTTAAACAAATAAGTAGGTATGATTGGATAAAACAATTTTATTCACAATAATTACAAGTATAATTAACAAGTATAAATAACAACTATAATTGATTATCTATAGATTTAGTATATAATATGAAGTTTAAAATATACAAGTATAATGATATTTATAATTCTATCGATAATCTTGTTATTGTATTATTATATGTATCAATATATTTATTTAATTACGGGCAGTGCCCCTTGAATAAGAAGTATGTATTAGATTATAGCAATAGGTAGTAGAGATGATAACAAAGGTAATATAATGCTAAATTATAACATACAAAATTATTTAGTTATATAAACAAAGAGGAAAATTATTTGAAAAGAAAGGGGGGAGAACTTCATTGTCGCCTCAGCTACTTATTTTTTATATAATTGCTTTTGTATTTGAGATTATGAAAAGTACATAGATGTACGGATAAACTATTGTAGAAATTTAAAGTTTATAAGAAATAATAGACAGCATGACAGTGTATAGCATTAAATAAAGGACCGATTAAAAAAATATTGCTTAACATCCGTCTACGGTTATCTAATGATTCTATTTCAAAAATCGTTGGTATTTTTAAATAATATCGTAAATATTTACACTTGGACCATAATACTGCATAGTAATTAGATATTACCATTAAGTGCTGCATCATAAAGAATATTATCAGATATGTCGGTAAACAAGTTTGTTTTTCCGTATGATGAAGATTTGCCATGCGGTTGATCCTCCTCAATTGAGGATGGATATTTACTAGAACACCATGTGAAGTCATCTAGATACACTTTACCATCTAGGTACAAACAATAATTATTAATTTAAATCATTATTTTTTTCTTATTTTTTTGTTACTTTGAATTAAATTCTTCAAATAATTTATAAACGAGCTGTTTTGAAGTTTTTTTGTATTAAATTATATAAAACAAAGTATGAAGTTACAATGAACACGGAATTTACTGCATATTCTATTAATATTGTCATTTCTTTTCTAATTGATAACTGGACGCCAATTTTCGCACAAGGACATTTAAATTATTTATATGCGAAGAAAACAGAATAATAAACTAAAAGTCCAAAACTAATTTTAAAACATTTTTATATACGTTTATGTGTGTTGCTCAATTTTAGAATAAGTTACCTCTTGTTCAATGAAGCAGGTGTAAAGAGGATACTATATAATGTAGGGTAGCCCTTAACGGGATAAAAAATAAACTACGGAGTTACACACATTTTATTAAAAATTCAAATTAATCTAATGTCGTGCTTAATCATTATTAACTTGATTATGGTCGAATTCGAAATTCGGTAGGCTCAAACTTACAACCGTTTAAATTTCTAAAATATTGAGTTGAAGAATTGTGTAAATATGATTATAGTATAAAACATATATAGACAATAGTTTAAAATTAATTTAAATATCTAGAAAATATCATTGCTTATCGGTTCCCACAAATAATAAATTATTTCTCATGTAGTTACTGACCTTCATGAGACCTATCCCATGTAGCTATGCCAAATTTCAAATACCTACTAGGGTTGGTTCACGATATCTTACATATTTTGAATTAAAGTAACATTTAACTTTAGTTATAGGTACAGAAAATTAATCTGTTAGAGCGCGCCACTAGTCACGAAGAGGATCACTGTCATCGGTGATACCCGATAGAGCACGGTCGTAATCTGCTGACCTTTATTATGACCCGATTGACCACGATAAAAAAAAATTAGATATAGTGTACAACGTTGTCAGATTTTTACTAGTACTTACGTTTGTTGTGTAGATATTACTATAATAGGTAATTACTAACATATTAGTCGAAAACGATTTTGCTATCGTTCGATGGGTAGGTTAAAAAAAAAATAACGGAAGTTTAAAATAACTGGAATAGATAGGAAACCAGAATTTTATCTACAACGATTGCACTAAATTGTGATCAACTGTTATTGTATGTGACTAAGCTGTAAATAAGAAAGACTTTGTCACATTCAGTCTGTTCTGTTGTCTCGGGCTTCTAGTGCGGTAGTGTGCAAATTTTACGATGAAAAATAATGAAATAAAAATGATTTTCTCCAAGAGAGGTAACGAGTTGGCAAATGTTGGAGATTTGAAGTACAGGTTTTTTGGGTGCAGGAAAAATAGTGAATTGTTGAAATGGTGATGTACAAAAAATGATTGTACCGCAACAATCTATTCTGGGCAAAAGAAAAATATTGTGGCCCCCTAATGTATTACCCTCCAGAAGAACATTATTTGAAAACTTTAAAACTATTAGTGAAAAACTATCCTATCCTTCCAAGCACAAACACTAAATAAAATGCAACCGTATCACCCTCCTTGGCTCTGGTCGCCAATCATTAACACCAAACTGACTGAATACTGAAAACAAAACACCGACAATTCAATTATACGAAACCAGTTTTTGGAAATTATACAAAAACAATTCCCGGAATATACCCAAATTTACACCGATGCCTCCAAAAATACAAATGGTGTGGGTTTCTCTGTCATCACAAACCAGGAAAACCATCTTTTCCAACTACCGTCTTAAACTAGTATATATACAGCTGAAACTTACTCTATCTATGAAGCATTAAAAATTGTCTTATCTTCAAACCCGAAAAATTGCAGCATTATCATCAGTGACTCTCTGAACGCCCTCTCATCAATTTCAAATCCCTATCCAAAAAACGAACTCATCCAACATATACAGAAACTAATATCTGAAATAAACAGACCAACAAGCATCATGTGTTGGGTGTGTTGGGATAACCGGAAACGAGAAAGCCGACACTATAGCCTTTGAAGCCACCACATCTCCTTCTTTCACAAAGATAAACACACTAACCTCATTCGAAACTTTCAACATCATACAGCATAAACTAACGGAAGAATGGCAAAAATGTTGGTCTAACCTACCCCTCTCAAACAAACTGAGAAACGTAAAGTTATCTCTCAAAAAATTAAAATACCACCCTAACACCAAACGAAGAGAGGAAGTAAATATTCCCCGAGTTAAAATAGGCCATTCACATTTAACACATGCCTATCTCATAAGAAAAGAACCAGCCCCAGTATGCGATACTTGCAATGAGACACTAACAATAGAACATATATTGATAAACTGTGCCAAATACACGGAAGCTTGCAAGATCCTCAAAAACCCCACCACTTTCCATCAAGCACTCAACGAAGACAATACGGACGCTATCAATCTATTCTTCCATACTATAAACTTAAGCCATAAATTGTAAACATGTCAATATTTGTAAAATTTTTAATGTATACGTATTTATATTAATTTAATGCAGGCTCTTTAGGTCTTTCCTTTGATGTCGAAGCCTTAATAAATAAATATATATATATATATATATAAAAAATATTGTACTGCAATCAAAGGGACAACATCATCATGACGGAAATTAATTAAATACAATTATAAGGCAAGTATTACGAGAAAATTGCAAACGACGAGCTGAAGAATCGATACCAATTCAACCTCTTAAATTAATTAGACATGAACTTCTTCTGAACCAAAGTCCATTGTCCATAAATATTTGAAAACAGTTCGAAAGGCTATTTATGATAGACGAAGAAATACACTTCCTAAGTTACCTAAGTTACGAGAAGACATGTTTTTGCAGTTAATTTTAATACAACTCAAGCTGATTTTATGTTTAATGGACAGCAATTTATACACATTCTTGAAGATAATAGTTTCATATGTATTACTAACGACGAAAACCTAAAATTGATGACAACAGAATGCAGTGATTTGTTTGCCGATGGTACATTCAATTACGCTCCTAAATATGTTATGCAGTTATAATATACAATATACGGATTTAAAAATGGGTATTGTTTGACTGTAGTTTATTTTTTTTTGTTTGAGAAATCGAAAGAGGTGTATAAAAAAAATTGGTTATTTCTTAAAGAACTATGTGTGAAATGTAATGAAACTAAGTTTATATTACAAAAATTACTTGTTGACTTGGAAAAAACAGCTCACCAAGCCGCTTCTGAAGTTTTTGAAGATGTCCAATTGTTATCATGCAGAATTTAATTTACGACAATCATGGTGGAGAAAATTAAGTACAAAGTAAAAACTAATAAAATGAGTAACTATTAAATTAAATTAGTTTATTATTATTACAGATAAACAGTGAACCTGTACTCAGATTATCATGTACAAAAAAAGACGATGCTCTCGGAAATTGATTAAACATTTTTTTTGGATTGG